GTTTACAGGGCTCTGGTGGGTAGTCAGGATTGGTGTAGGATTCTTTAACAACCATATAAAGTATAAACTAAACAGTTATGCCTCTTTTTCCATGTTTCCTTTCTAATGCCTTTCTATTAACAAAGCACTCCACTTTTGCTAAAATTTAGAAATGAAATATACCGATAAACCAACTTTCAGTAGTAGAAAATTTTCATAATGCCTGATAAGAAGGATGATTCTGTGAAAATCAAGGGCACAGGTGAAGCAGAAAGAGACGTGGGGCATTCTATACATTTCCTAAGATCCTTGTTGTGAGACATGTCTCTCTAGCCCCAAACAGTAGATTGTGTGGGGGTCTCATGCACAGGGAGCTTTATGTTGTTAAACGGCTCCATTTTATAACTTGGAGAATTTTACAGCTCATATGGCTGCCTTCAGGGAGCTGTGTCTCATAGATTCTGAGTCCGTTTAGCCAAGTAATATTTTGCTAGGAACTCCCCACTAAGGACGTTCACTAGATAAAATTTTCTTCTGATAACAGTTGTCAGGAGATCCACTTGAGGAGGAGACAGGCCTGGTCATCAATCTATTTTCTTTCTCTCAGGGCGTATCCCTAGTAAGTACCAGCAGCTTTATCTTCTTCCTCCCAGCTGTCTGTCAAGTTCCTGGAGCCTGTCTGTGCTAGAATTGTTTATGGAACAGAGTCAACTGAGAAAGAAAAAATTTTTATAAAGGTATATTTCAGTTATTTGCAAGTAAACAGGGTTACGGTATTTCATTGAAAGAATCTGTACAGTTTATAATTATAATTATATAATTTTACATATTATACGATAAACTACATTCCAATAGGAAGAGGTAAGTAATTCAGTAGAAAGGAAATGTGAGCTAACAATATGAAAAGGCAGTTTAGTAGAAGAAGAAACACGGAAGGAAAAATAACATGAATGAATGATGTTCGACCTCAGCAGTGCCAGGAAATGCATGTCTAGAAAACAGCAATATGTTTCATATTGATTTCTATTGACATTAACTTAAAAAACTTAATTTGACAACAATATCAGGTGTTAGTGATTGTGTGGGGAAGTGGAGCACATCACCTGGTAAAGTCACACACACACACACACACACACACACACACATGTATCTTAACTCTAAGATACTGTGTATATTGCCCACAGACACTGTGCAGGGATGGGCGTGTTAGCATTTTTGTCATAGCTGGAAACTGGAAATAATAGTGTCCATTGTCAAAGATGGCTGGGTGTGGTAGGGCTAACAGGAGTATTCTCTGGCAGGTAAAATGAAAAAGTCTTCAAGTATTAACACTGATATGCTTTGAAGCATAATTTTGATTTGCAGGGAAGAAGGAAGTATCCAAGAAGGGAAGAGACCCAAATATACCAGACTTCACAATTTTATTTACAAGACTTTAACACACACCACACATAGAAAATGTGTCTCCAGTATATTCGTACTTGTAAATTTTCTTTTAAAAATACAGAATCTGAAATAAATGTAAGAAAATGTTAATGAGTATTGAAAACATAATAATTTGTGTACTCCAGAGCTATGCTTTTTGCATTGTGAAATAGTTTTTTGTTGAAAAAATATTTCAGAACTAAAAGTATAAAATAGATTCTAAAATAAAAAGTCTCCTTGGGTATCAGAACTGTATTCATTTCAAATGAAACCTCAGTTTTTAATGGCTTTTTTACAGAAATGTTTTCTCCTTTAGTATATTAATAGTTCATAACTTTCAGCATGTTTTGGGGTATAGTGACCAAGCTATTAAAAATGACTATGCTTTCAGAATAGTGATAAGTTTGGGGTGAAATCTGAATTTAGAATATTATATGCATACTCATGTTAAATACTTTTTAAGTCTAATGTTTACAAAGTAAATGAAATTTCTGCATTAAAATAGATTTTTTAATTGGAAGTAAATCCTGTTAGCAGAAGTAAAGCTTATTAACAGAAGAAAAGTAAAAACTCAGTTGCTTACATCAGGAGGCATTTTTACATTTCAGATGTCTATTTAACTTGTTAAATAAAATAAAAGCTAAGCAACTCATTTATAAAAATAGAACATACAAATTAAAGATTCTGAATATGGAATGAGTTTATGCATACTTTCTTCAAAGTAAACTAGTTTTTTACATCAGTGCAAGATGTAGCAACAAAATAAGTGTTTTTAATAAAATAAAAAGAAAACATAATCATAGCTCAGAGCAAGAAACAGCTGACCTATTTCAATTGAGAGAGGAACCATATTATTTTCTGCAATTATGCATATTTTGAGATCTAAGATCTGGGAAGCCTGGTGCAGTCAGCAGTCAGTCCATCAGGAAGAATAGATTTTACATCAAATTATGCTCAAGTGGACATTGTAGGGATTATGGTTCCTTAGCATGGCTTTTCCCTTTTAATTTTGAATTGATTAACAAGGACTTAGAAATTCCCAACCATGAGCTCTATTTCAGATCAGGGCAGTTTTTTCTTTACCAGTGTTGTTGATGCAAGTAGTTATTTAATTACTCGGTAAGGATGAAATAAGGCTTAAAGGTTATCAGAATGTACTATTGGCCTAAACATCTCCACATCACTGAATGTGCTTTTATAGCTATTTTTTAAAAAATTAATGAATTATTTTATTTTTAGTTGGAGGATGGATAATTGCTTTACAATATTGTGTTGGTTTCTGCCGTATATCAACATGCATCAGCCATAAGTATTTCTCTGTCCCCTCCCTGTTGAGCCTCCCTCCCACCTCCCATTCCGTCTCTCCCCTCTAGGTTATCACAGAGCACAGATTTGAGCTTCCTGCGTCATACAGTAAATTCCCACTGGCTGTTTTATATATGGTAACATATTCGTTTCAGTGCTACTTCTTATTAAGATAGAACTTCTATCTGTGAGCTCAACTGACAACAGAGATGAAAGTTAACTTGAGCATCTGCCACGTGGAGGCTCCATCTTTTTAGGAGATGTCTCCAAGGGCCAGCTCAGTCATTTGGCTGAGAGCCTCACTTCGGGATCAGATGCCTGGTTAAGACACCGTGTGACTCCGTCATCATCTTGTGCTCCTGCTCGGCTGTGTCCGACTCTGGAACCCTTTCGACTGTAGCCCACCAGGCTCCTCTGCCCACGGGATTTTTCAGGCAAGAATACTGGAGTGGGTTGCCATGCCCTCCTCCAGGGGATCTTCTTGAGCCAGGGATCAAACCCAAGTCTCCTGAGTCTCCTACATTGGCGGGCAGATTCTTTACCCGCTGAGCCAGCAGAGGAGCCCCATTTTAGCTGCCCTGCATATGGGTTCCTCCATGCCATGGGGCGGAAGGTGGGTGGGAGGTTCAAGAGCAAGGAGACAAACATATACCTGTGACTGATTCATGTTGATATATGGCAGAAACCAACAGAATATTGTAAAGCAATTATCTTCCAGTTAAAATTTTTTTTTTACTTAAATGCCATATGACTTCTGGAATAGTCTGTCTTATCAACAAATTTGAAGGCTCTATAATGAATTACAAACTTACAGGCAATGCAGAGGATTTTTAAGTTAACCATGAGGATGTCTTTAGTAAAAAATCTAGACTGTGTAGGAAGAACAACTCATTTTCTTCAACAAATAGATTGTATTATGGTGAGAAGAGGTGGGGTGGGGAAAAAGAGAGGAAGGAGGAGGCTGTGTTTTAGGACAGCATCTTCCCAGAAGCTTGGGGAGAAACATCTCCTCCAGCCGGCAGACTGGGAGCAGGCCCTTGAGGATCTGGAGACCGTGGAAGGAGTCCTGGAGGTGTCTGTTTTTGCATCTGCTTTCTCTCCAGAACCTTCCATCATGGTCATGGTCGCGTCAGCATGTGCTGATAGCATGAATGGTTAAAACTGAAGGGAGCCCAGTCTGTGTGCAGAAAGCAGTGCGAAGAGAGCCTGGGAGAGGGAGAGGATGGCCATGGGGCTGCTGAGAGGGGCAGTGACGTGCTGATCGCCTCTGGGAGACACGTTAGGTATCATGTGATGCTTTCTCTGTTTCCAAGATTGGTTTTACAGATTGGACTGTTGTAAGTTTGTGGGGTGGTGGGGTGTTGATGTTGATTTTTAAAATATTTACTTAGCCTTTTAGAAAGCTGGTGAAGTTTTGGACACCGTGCTTACTTCAAATGCATGCTTTATGTTTGCATAGTATGTAGATAGTGACATTTTAAAATAAAACACCGTTACAATGTTTCTGTGGAGTACACCTTCCACTCAGATGATATACTGATAAGTTAACACTGGAAAAATAAGTGGCTGTTTTGTTTTATTTTTGCCTAAAAGTAAAATTTCTTCTGGTCTATGTATAAGGTGTCTTATTTTGCAAAATCTCTGTTAACCAAAATAGTCTCAAATTGTTTGGTAATTTTAATTGCACCTTTATTCTATTTAAATTTTGAGTTATAGGCCTGGTGAGAAAAAACAACCAAGGGGAAAGCTATAAAGATGTAGGCAGACTTTTTTAACCTATTAAAGAAAAATTATTCAAAATAAGCACTTGAATTTCTGTCTAGTTCATGCTAGAGAGCATAATCTATGTATGATAAAAGACCAGGATGATTGATTGCTTATGATGTCCTCTCAAAATATGAAAATGAGTTTTTCTTAGAATTGATGCACTGATGTTTTAAAATAATTGTGAATTTACTCACAATCTGGTCATGTATGAAGACAGAGATCTGATAGAATTGTCAAAATCTGGGGACAGAGAGCAGAGTGCTGGTGGGGAGCCCTTTTCCATTCTGACTCCCATCATTAACTAGTTTAGTGGCTTTGGAAAATCACTCTTCCAAGCCTGATTCTAAAATCAGATGCAGTTGCTGTTTGGTGAGAAGTTTTTTGTTTTTTTTGTGTGTGTGTGTCCTCAGTCAGTCGTATCAGGGTCTGAAGAGTGGCAGCCAGCCCACCATGTGGTTTATGGGTACTCTTCAGATAGACTGTGTCATAATTGCTCCACTTTTCTGGCCCTTTTTCCATTTTAGCTTGGAGAGCCTCTCAAGGCTTTAAAGCGCAGATGCCCACACAAAGCGCAGCTAAGTGCCGATGCTCGTTAGAATGGCTCATGAATCTATTTGTGCTTGTCTTTTTCTTGACACAGTCATGGCCCATAGCTTTTTAAATCACGGTATGAAAAATTCTTTGGGGCTTCCCTGGTGCCTCAGTGGCAAAGAAGCCACCTGCCAATGCCGGAGACCCCGGTTTGATCCCTGGGTCAAGAAGATTCCCCTGAAGAAGGAAATGGCAGCCCACTCCAGTATTTGTGCCTGGGAAATCCCATGGACAGACTGAACAACAACAAATGAGTGTGGGAGGGAGAATGTGTTTATTTAATACTTTTAGGTATTCATTGCATGAGGGTAAATTTGGTCACCTGGTCCATCATATTGTTGGAAATTGATTCATCTTTTACCTTGGTTTTCTATATTTATTTAGTATATTTGGAAAATATATTGATGCATGGAGCAAATTGAGGCTCTAAGTGGAAAAGAATTCGACTTCCCTGTCATGTGTTGAATAAGGCTAGGGCCTTTCCTGTGGTTTGTGATGCTTCCTTTAGTATATACTTTATTTTCACATATAGAGTTTATTCATTAATCTCACCTGTGGGTTCCCACACTACTAATACACTAATTTAATTACTGTAGTTTTAGTACATATTTTAATATACAGTTGTTACAATTACTTTTTATTAGTTATTCTTCCTGTTCATACTCCTAAATGGCCTTGACAATAACTTTTTCAAGTTCAAAAATAAAACTGTGTAGATTTTAATTGAGAATTTTTGAGGAAATGTTTTTAAAAATTATGTCTTCAAAAAGACCAATCATTGTAGTTTATAGCTGACGTCCTCTATATGTATCATATTTTCTTATTTTAATATCTCTGTCCTTGCCCATGATATCTCAACTGAAAATTCTCAAGTTCTTCCTTCATCATTTATTTGATTTTTCTGTAATAGCATTTGTTAGGTTTACTGTCTTCAATGTGGATTTCAGATTTCCTTTTGGAATTTCAACTCCCATAAATTTGCTGCATGTCACCACATTCCATTTTTATTTCATTTTTATATGCTCCCTATAATTAAATCCTCTTGCCTTCTCATCTTCTCTTGGCTTCCGCCTTTCATAACTGGCTTGCATCCTTTCCCACCACTGATCGTGTCCTTCCTTTCTCAGAGCTTCCCTCTGTTTACGCTGGTCTCCTCAGAAAGTCTTTTTCTTCATGTTCTTCCTCCTTGTGTTAATATTTGGGTTCTTTGCCTTTTCTTGTGTCTCCTGTCAGTGTTTCTCATGGAATCTGTATTTTGGTTTGTTTGCATTTTTCCTCATCTTCTTATGAGAAAGTTGTAACTGGATCTGCCTGAGATTTTCCCACAGTTGTCTCTGTCATTTGTCCATGGCTCGGGCCCTCACTCGGGTGACAGGAGAAGCCGCTCTCCCAGCCCTGTCCAGGGGAGCAGATGGTGGCACCCATGTCCATTGCTTTTCTGCTGACCCAACATGGACCCTGGTGTCCTAGGCCACTGTGCTTCGGTGAGTTTACCAGAAAGCAGGACCGGCGTGCCAGGCATTGACCACGTCCATAGCTTCTGCACATCTCACCGTGCACATGGACCCTGGTATCCCAGGCCACTGTGCTTCGGTGAGTTTACCAGAAAGCAGGACCGGCATGCCAAGCCCTGACCACGTCCATGGCCTCTGCACATCTCGCCAGGCACCAGTGCTCCTGACCCCCAGCCTGTCGTTCGGCATGCACAGAAAGATTTGCGGGAAGGTTATGGATTATGTTTCTCTCTTCAGCTTCATCAGCGTCTCACTTAAGCATTTGTTTTCCCTCACAGATTCATTAGTACCAAATTGGTGGACTCTTAGGGGAAGTCATTTGTAGCAAGAATCCCTATCACCTTTTAAGGGTTCTGTGCCTTCACTAGGAATTGAAAGAGGGAGGGAACATTTCCTTATGAGTTAATTTTTTAAAAATTCACTGTGCATAAATAAAAGAATCGGTGTTCTGAGCCAGTGTATAGAGTCCTTCATCTCACACAGGAGCAAGCGGTGGTGGGGGACCAGGGGTAGAGTGGCCGTCACAGCTCTGTGCCTTAAGGCATAATTCATTCAAGAGGTTTCAAGTAAGTCTAGAAAATAAAGCCAGTTATTTCTGCTGTATTTGGCTACACTGGCAATAAAATGTCAATTAAATATGATTAATTCTTACTTCTTTTCTGTAAGTGAGAGAATGTATTGCTACCACGGCTGTAAGATTGAGGTCTGTCAGTACTAAAAAGGGATTATCAGAGTCATTTCAGTGTCATGAGAAAATCTGAGTTATATCTCAATAATGGATCCTTTCCTGATTTTTTTTTTTATTCCCTCTGGCAAGAAAAATTTTATTTGTTCTGAACAATTTTGTCATGCAGTTGAAACCTAACATCTTCGTAGAAGTCTTGTTTGATCACCACAAGCAAAGGCACCCAAATCCTTCCCACTCCTGTCTCTGTATGATAAATATTAACATGTTTTGTTGGAAATAACTATAATTAAGTATCACTTACGTGTCTTTTTTTCCTAATGCACTGAAGTTAGCAAAAATGTCTTATCCATTGTTTTCTCTCTGTATCTCACCTATGGAAAAAAAATGTGTTGCTCAAATCCGGATTTTTTCACTTTAAGTAGAGAGAAATCAGCTACTCTCACTGACCTTAAAACACACTACTTTCTAAACTCTAAGTCACTCAAAATTAAAAAGGAAAGAAAAGAATATTAGGAGCTAGATCTCCTCAATTTGTGCAGCAATCCTTTGAATACCTAAAAAGAATGATTTCAGGTGAAAGACTGATCTATGGCTCTCTGTATTTTTCTTTGAAGCACATATTTGGTATTTTATAAAGTACCTATCGAAGAAATAGAAAGAAATGAATTTGACATCAAAAACAGAAACAATAAAATTAAAAATAAACTGATACTACACCAAATTAGCAAGCTTCCTACATAGAACACATCAGGAAAAAGAAAAGGCAACTCTTGGAATGGGAGAAGATATTTGTACATCATATTTCTGATAATGGGTTAATATCCAAAATATATAAAGAATTAATGTAATAGAAAAAAGATCTGCTTTGAAAAATGGGCAGAAGGTGTAAGTAGACATTTTCCCAAAGAAAATCTATGGGCCAATGCATACATGGAGAGGTACTCAGCATCACTCATCATCATAGAAATGCAAAACAAAACTGCAGTGAGATATCACCACCCACACACACACCTGTTAGAGTGACTGTCGTCCGAAAGACAGGAGACAGGTTCCATCAAGGATGTGGAGAAAATATCCACTATTGGTGGGAGCATAAATCGCTGCAGCTACTATGGAAAACATTTCAGAGGTTCCTCAAAAAATTAAAAATAGAACCACTGTACAAGCTAGCAGTTCCTCTTCTGGAATAAATCTAAAGGAAGTGAAGTCAGGATCTCAAAGGGGTATTTGTGCTCCTGTGTTTACTGCAGCCATGTTTGACAGCAGCCAATATATGGAAACAGCTGCCTGTCCCTGGATGAGTGAATTTTAAAAAAACAGGATATAGATACAGTGTGCATATACATACAATGGGATATATACACACAATAAGGTATTATTCAACCATAAAAAGAAAGAAATTTTGCCACTGTTGACAACATGGTTGGGCATTGAAGGCATTATACCAAATGAAATAAGTCAGAGAAGGACAAATATCATATTATCTCATGGAGACTTGGAGGAGTGAGTGAGGTGAACAGAAGATGCAAACTTCCAGTTAAAAGATAAGTGAGTTCTAGAATGTAATATAAAGCATGGTGACTGTAGTTAACAATACTTCATTATATATTTAGTTGCTTGGAGAGTATTCCTTTAAAGTTCTTATCATAAGAGAAAAACTTTGTCTCTATGTGAGGTGATGGATGTTAACTAAACTTATTGTGGTAATCATTTCACAATAAATTAAAAAAATATCAAATCAATAAGCAGAACACCTAAACTAATCCAGTTATAAGTCAATTATATCACAATAATACAGAAAAAAAAAAAAAGGAAACTAAAAGGTACCATGGTAAAGAGGTGTTTTGGATGGCCTGGGATGTCAAGTGTAAAATCTAGAAAATAAAAAAACAACAACAAAAAAAGGAAAGCTGTGTTCTGCATGTGGAAGTTTATATGTCAATACTTTAGAATTGGGATAGTCACTTCTAGCTACTGGTTATGGAGCAGGTGGTGATGTTTAATGCATTTAACAGACCAAGAAATTATTCATGGGGGATCTTAGATAGTTCATTCAGTGAGCATAGGGACCAGACGACAATAAAGCTTAAGGAAAGGGCCTAGGAGACAGGAGCCTAACCCTGATCAGAGCCTGCAGGAGTGCTGGGTACATGTTAGTTCAATACATGAAAGAATGAAAACTCCTTGGATGAAAAGTGGAGAAGAAAGGGCAGTGAGGGTGCGTTGTGAAGGTCCCTGCTGTGGGCGTCGGGCTCAGCTCTGCCAGCATCTCTGGGAAGGTAGCTCGGCGGTTGTGAGTCTGCAGGTCCCCTCTGCTATATTGTCCTGCCCCTTGTCCCTGTCTAAGCTCCCTCTCCAGGAAACTGAACCACTGCTAGTTCAGAGCCAGGTTTCTCTGGAGTGGCAGAGAAAGAGATACAGCTATTCCTTGATTTATGATGGGTTGTCATAAGTTGAAAATATTATAAGTTGAAAATGCATTTCATACACCTGCCCTGTGGAGTATCAGAGCTTAGTCCAGCCTGCCTACAATGTGCTCAGAGCGCTTAACTAGCCTACAGGTGGTAGAATCATCCAACACAAAACCTCTTTCATCACAGACTATTGAATATCTCATGTGTAATTTGTTGAATACCGTACTGAAAGTGAAAAGTAGAATGGCCATATGGACGCAGAATGGTTGTAAATGTGATTGTTTATCCTTGTGATTGTGTGGCCAAATGTAGCAGCAACTACAGAGCATCACAAGAGTGTTGTAGCACATATCACTAGCCCAGGGAAAGATCAGTGTTCACAGTTCAAA